TCTGATATACCTTCAATCAATAATATATGCTCCATCACCATCCACAATCTGTCCCCATCTCATAGGCGGCGCGTGGATCCCACCCCTGTAGAAGCGGGCAGGCTTCGATTCGAAGAACTCGCGGAGGTCAGTATCGAGTGCCTGTCGATCGTCGTAGCTTTTCCCATCCAAATGATGCTGCAGGGCACGGAAGAGATGGTAGTCGGAAGGGGCTATGTCAGGGGATACAGAGGATGGGGGAGCAGCTCCCATCCCAACTCGATCAACTGTTGACGTGTCACTTTTGCCGTGTGTGGTCGTGCGTTGTCGTGCAGTATGAAGACTTTGTCGAGCCCTGGACCTCTGAGATCGAGAGCGAACTTGAGTCTTTCCAGTTAGAGGCAGTAGGAGTTGGCAGTGATTGTAATGTTGCTTAGGAGGAGCTCGTAGTGGATCACGCAGTGAACGTCCCACCAAACAGAAAGCAGTACCTTTTTCGGGTGAAGTTCGCCTTTGACGTCTGGTTCCGGCTGCTGTTGTGCGTCTACCCACTGGCACTTCCTACTATGGTTCACGTAGAAGACCCATTTCTCGTCTACTGTAACCACTTGATCCAACCATTCTAAATGGCGAGATTTGCTCAGAAGAAGAGTACAGGTCTCGGCGCGCAAATCGAGGTCTCTCTGGGTGAGATGGTGTGGCACCCAAGATTCAAATTTGTTCACTTTGCCGATTGAGTGCAGCTGTCTCTCCACTGTTCCATGGGTGCACCCGAGTGAGAAGGTCAAACAGCGAGTGGTTTGACAGGGGTCGGATTCCACCAGGCAACGCAACTCGTCCACATTGCACTCGACTGGTCATCGGAACTTGTCGCCCGGTCTGTCTTCCACGAAGTAGTCGCCAGAGCGGAACTGATCGAACCAGTACATGCACGTACGCGGAGAGACAACCCCCTCACCTATCACTTGACAGATATTCCTGGCTGCTGCCGCTGCTGAGTGTCCCTGGGCGAACTCATATCTGATACAGTGTCTGTGATAGGTCTTTTCTGGATCCATTATCTTATACCTAAAAGCAAAAAAGATTAGAGAAAAAATAAATGAGAAATACAATAATATCCAGACTACAACTCAGAACCATTTCGAAACATTTTCAAAAAGACGCTGCAACGTGTAAAGATTTCGAAAAAAAACAGCAAAGACTTATTGGCCAACCCAATATATTAGATTCGTGACCAACAAGAAATAGCCACAAAAAAATAATGAATTCACTGCAGAAATTAATATATGTTGTCCTTAGGAAATAGACAAGTATTTCATTCCAGACGGAATGTCTCAATCTAATTAATGAATGAACGTATTTGCCTCGAAGAGACGATCCAGGATGATTTCCAGAAATTATGGCATCTCAGATTCTTCTGGATTCTTCTATGACTAAAAGACCAAAAAAATTGCAAATTAACACCCGACTATCTCAGATTCTTATAACATTTTTGGAAGGTTATGAAGGCCAAAGACTAAGAAGTATAAAATTTCAGCCCCATCGGGTCATTCGGTCAGATACTATAGGGTGGTCAAAATGTAGGGTCGCCTTCTAACCTCCAATGTTGATATCCTTGTAACTCTAGAACCATTCGTACAAGAACATTTATTAATGGTGTGAATTCACTGGAAATCGCCTGAAATTTTCACATTCATATTTTTAATACCACTTCAATAAAAAACACGCAATGTTATTTGTGGACGAAAATTTGACCTTTGAACTGAACTCCCAAAATTTAAAATCTAAAAAATGCCAAGAAAACGTCAATGACTGCTAATAATTAAAAAAAATTAAAGAGGTAATATTTTTTATTCTGTCAATAAATTTTAGAATCAGAAGATCCACATCACACATGGGTCATTCCGGTTCAAGTAATTGAAATCGTGGTTGCGTTTACGACTGGGATTTCGTTGCGAAAATTCATACACAATGAACTCTCTGAAATATGAAAGCATACCGAATTTCAGAGCTTTCGTTTTAGAAGATATTGAGTACCAAAAGTTGGACTCTTGGAGAAAAAGTCAATCCAAAGATCAGACGGCAGTCTTTGGCCCTAGTTGAGCCAGGAAAAAGTGTAGTAGAGCCATTATCAAGGGGTAGAATCCGGCGGTTCTTTTTCACGCGTATGGCATTAGGAAGCTATAGTCCGGTCCAATTTCGATAGCTAGGTTGCGGAGTCCTTCTCCAGTGCGTGTAACGATGCGATTCCTCCGTCGAATTTTCGCTTTTCACAATGGTTCACTATGTGTTCCACGATCTGGTTGGGATGTCCGCTGCCGCTGACAGTATTGTCTTTGTTTTACTATTTATGCAGACAGTGTCCGGTGTTGGCGTGTGTGGCGCGGATTCGGTTCAGCATAGTCCATAATGTCCAAGGCATATGGCGGCTCTCTGGTCGGATTCTTGATAAGGAAATTATTTGGCACGGTAGAGTTGTCCTATTCCTTCATCCACACTTCATTAACCTGGTCTCCATGGAAGTAATTGGAAAACTCTAAAGAAAACCTGATACCGTATGGATTGCTTGTCACCCAACGAAAGAGGAGGAAAGAAGGAAGGTTTTCCCTCAGAGTCCCCAAGTTACACTCTTAGAAAATTCCTAGCGTTTGGGGAGTAAAAAGTGAGCACACCGTGAGCTTTTCGAATTNTGGATCCCATCCCTGTAGAAGCGGGCAGGCTTCGATTCGAAGAACTCGCGGAGGTCAGTCTCGAGTGCCTGTCGATCGTCGTAGCTCTTCCCATCCAAATGATGCTGCAGGGCACGGAAGAGATGGTAGTCGGAAGGGGCTATGTCAGGGGAATACGGAGGATGGGGGAGCAGCTCCCATCCCAACTCGATCAACTTTTGACGTGTCACTTTTGCCGTGTGTGGTCGTGCGTTGTCGTGCAGCATGTAGACTTTGTCGAGCCCTGGACGTCTGAGATCGAGAGCGGACTTGAGTCTTTCCAGTTGAAGGCAGTAGGAGTTGGCAGTGATTGTCATATTGTTTGGGAGGAGCTCGTAGTGGATCACGCCGCGAACGTCCCACCAAACTGAAAGCAGTACCTTTTTCGGGTGAAGTTCGCCTTTGACGTCCGGTTCCGGCTGCTGTTGTGCGTCTACCCACTGGCGCTTCCTACTATGGTTCACGTAGAGGACCCATTTCTCGTCTCCTGTAACCACGTGATCCAACCATTCGAAATGGTGAGATTTGCTCAGAAGAAGAGTACAGGTCTCGGCCCGCAAATCGAGGTCTCTCTGGGTGAGATGGTGTGGCACCAAAGGTCCATATTTGTTCACTTTGCCGATTGAGTGCAGCTGTCTCTCCACTGTTCCATGGGTGCACCCGAGTGAGAAGGCCAAACAGCGAGTGGTTTGACGGGGGTCGGATTCCACCAGGCGACGCAACTCGTCCACATTGCACTCGACTGGTCNGAGATGGTGTGGCACCCAAGATCCATATTTGTTCACTTTGCCGATTGAGTGCAGCTGTCTCTCCACTGTTCCATGGGTGCACCCGAGTGAGAAGGCCAAACAGCGAGTGGTTTGACGGGGGTCGGATTCCACCAGGCGACGCAACTCGTCCACATTGCACTCGACTGGTCGTCCGGAACGCGGTCCGTCTTCCACGGAGTAGTCGCCAGAGCGGAACCGATCGAACCAGTACATGCACGTACGCGGAGAGACAACCCCCTCACCTATCACCTGACAGATACTTCTGGCTGCTGTCGCTGCTGAGTGTCCCTGGGCGAACTCATATCTGACACAGTGCCTGTGATAGGTCTTTTCTGGATCCATTATCTTGGACATAAAAGCAAAAAAGGTTATAGAAAAAATAACTGAGAAATACTATAATACATCTAGACTACAACTCAGAACCATTTCGAAACATTTTCAAAAAGACGCTGCAGCGTGAGAAGATTTCGAAAAAAAACGCAAAGACTTATTAGCCAACCTAATAGTTTTGTTAGAATTTCCTTTCTTAAATAAAAATTATTTGTTTATTACTTTTCACATATTTCAAATATTTTTCATTTGTTATTAAAGGACATTTTAAATATTTCTAGATAAAAACGAAATAGAACTTTTGTTATTGTATTACACAATATTTCGGACATTCGGGAGAGTTTGAGCATGAAGTTGGTCAAACATGAATAAACTTTTCCGGTGTCTCCATGAAGATCCGCAATTGTACTTTACATATCCACTGTCCTGATATGGGTTTTAGTGGCAAGCAAAAGCAAATAATAGTCATTTATGTTCTTCGAGATATCAAACAATAGATTTTCATTAAGTAAATCCCGTTAAATCTCTGCGATTTTTTTTAATTCGGAGACAACCAAAGTCTCCATTCAGCTGTGTGGTGGAATAGTTCTCAGAAATTCTGGACATCCACTCTAAGTTATTGGTCCGAGTAAGTAATCTATCATGCGAGTGTTTCCAAGATTTTGTCGATGGACAGGAAATTCGATCTAGGAAAACGGATGTAGCTGTTGTTTCCTAATTTCCAATGTCCGCGATGAAATAAAATTAGCAGCAGGGAGTGAGGAACCTCCTCGATCGAATTAGCCTGATGATATCAGTTGAAGGGTTGATTATCAGTATTGAAGGTCGTAAAGAAAGTCTTTAATGTCAGGTAAAAGGAGTAACAGTTACATGCACTTCTGAAAGTGTCACGATTATTGCTGTTCTGTTTGTTACAAATTTTAGTGTCATATATCGTGACTAAATATTCATGACACCATTTGGGACCCTCCAAAAACCTATCAAAGATTCACGTCCAAAATACACTAGGTGCAACTAATACTTCCCCACCCTGAACGGCAAGAGATTAATTGGGATAATTTTCTTTAAAGTATGGATTTCTCATTGGACTTTCTTGTACAAAATAGTCAAACTATCATGACAAATCGAGTGAAGAACTTTCTGTACTTGTCAATGAGTCTATTTTCATCCTTTTATAAACATCCTGAGGTGAAAATGTTGGTGACACTCTCCCAGGATACCGACGATTGTCACGGAACCCTGAACTTTGGAACTGGGATGAAGTGAGTAGCCGCAGGTCTGGATGGGGCGACGAAGATGTTTCCAAGTGCTTGATGAACTTCGTGGTCAAAGGTCTACTACTGTCCCGCCACTTCATTTTCGACGACAAGGACAAATATAGGGAGTTGTCTCTCGCATACGATCAAAGACAGCAGAAGAATGGGTGCTTCAACCCCAGAACTGTCCTCATGTCTCGCTATCAGGTTTAATATCTTCCGTTTTTCCTAGAGGGTATGTTCAGAAAGGCATGAAATAATATGCGTAATTGACAATTTTACATATGATATTAGATGTTTTGGAAACATCATGTTTAAATTCTATAGAAATTTAGCAATGCAATTTTTGGCTTATAATGGTCGCGTTAGAATCATCTAATTAACGAAACAATAATAATACATTTTAGATAGCACTATCAGTGGTGAGTAAAACACATCAATTACCAGAAAGTTGACTAAATGTAAAAAGAGGCTTCTAGTAAGTGTGGAATATTATGGTTGTCACCGTTTTAGCATGGTTGCACCATGCTTGGAATCTTCTATATATATAATCTATCTAATATACCTGTATATAAACGATCGTGGCTGACTGACTGATGCTGCTTCTAACCATGTTCTAGAGAGGTTAGAAATCTGAAACTTGGTACACGTGTACCTTTCGGGATGCAGAGTTCAGAAAAAATCAGACTTTGGAGGTACATGCCCTGGGGTTACAAATTTTTTGGGGAAAAGTTTTTCTTAAATATATATTGTGATAGATGAGCATGGCATTCAGAGAGTTAACTGGATGTCCTGGGTTCGGTGGTGTAGTAGTAGCATATCTGACCGGCAATCAGTATGTCCGGGTTCAATTCCCGGCCATTCCTTGGCTTTCCACGTCCCGTTATTCTTTCCCCCTACATAACATTATTTTTTCTTTAGTAAAATGGAGAGACATGGAAAGCTGAAACCTGGCAATTGAGGTGTCTACCGTGACGATGAGTTCAGGAAAATGCAACATTTTAGATCCATGAACTGGGGATATTTTGGGGGGTCGACGTTTTCAAGTATTTTTTTTGTCCTGGGGTGTGTGGAAAGCTAGTGTGGAAAGATGAAACTTGGTACAGAACTATTAATGCCTATTGGGATGCTGCAGAAAAATTCAGACTTTGGAAGCAAACGCCCTGGGGGCACAAATTTCAAAGGCACATGTTTTCGTATAATTTTTTTGCATCTGTTGAACTGATGAACATGGAAAGCTGAAACTTTGCATGAATGTGACTACGGAGACAAGGAGTTAAAGAAAAATGTTGCGTCTCGATACATCCCCTGGAGGAATTCTTCGCCGCTGACTAAACTTGTGAATTCCCAAAAATGATACACGTTTAGCCTAGGCCAGGAGTGTCAAACCTGATTGGCTGGGGTCTGGATGGAACCCTTTAGGGTGGTTGGATCCAAATTAGTAAATTTTGCACCAAAGTTGCAATTGCTAACAGGCTGAAAAAGTCTCTGCTTCTCCATGACAAACTATTACTATTAATGCGTTATGGTGGAGTTATTTCATCTGAGGGATTCATGCTTGAACGGTTTGTTCAACCATACATTTCCTTAGGTTCTGAGTACATTTGCATTCTATCGTCTTTCCTGAATTTAAAAAAGAATATTTTGCACCAGTATCATAAGCCCTTACTCATAACGACTCCAACCATATTCGAACTTCGGATACAAACTGAAGCTGCCCGATCATGGTGTCCATTTCGTAAGTCAATGGATAAATATACATATTATAAAACATTCTATTCAATAGATTTAACATCTACTCCGGCAATATTACCAATTACCAGTGGAAAGAAAGTATTAATATATTTGAATTATTGGATGGTAAATGCCAACTTATCACACATATCTTCTGAGCTGCTGTCATTTTGAAGTGGGACGTTCCATGGAATAAGAAACGTGATTAACAGGCTTCTTCCTACTGGTTTTTATGGTTATATTTACAAAATATCACAAATACTACACTAAATGAAAGACGAGTAGTTTTCGGCCACCAGGGCTTCCGCTTTTTTCTTCTCTTTTAAAATGTTCGAGGTACCCGCCGATGGATTCATAATTCATGTGAGAGATTTCTTCAGCCTTGGCATCATATTGCGACGAAATAAGTTGGACGGGTATGCATGTGAACCATGATTCCAAGTTTTGACAGTAAAACGCACGAGTCATTGAAGGAAAGCTAGATGTGATTAGTATCGAACATTGCTCGTTGACGCGTCAGTCTCATTGAAATAGGGGAATCTGAAGGAAGGAGAGAGGAAAGAGAACTCTAAAAGGGGACTGTCGGCACACCTCTTCGTCTGTCTGTTGGAATCTGGGAAACCCCTGGAAGGCAAGATGATCCAAAATGCACTCCGGTGCTTGAAGGGGGACCCCGAGCCCTCGACATACACCCTGGCCCTCATTACCTACGCATTCATCTTGGCCGGAGAAACGGAACTCGGTGGGACCCAACTGGACATGCTCCTCCAGAGAGCCACTGAGAAAGACGGACTTCTCTTTTGGAATGCCTCGCCCGGTGGTATGAAAGTCGTACCATCATTTTTCAATAAAAAATCGTGAATTGCATGCAATGTTGAAGGGCAATCGATGACATTGCCAAGGTTCTGGGGTTTTCATTCGTCCCACGTGGAATTCTCTTCGCTTCACACAAATCTAGTGACGTCAAATGCAGTGGATACAGAGATTGCGTCGTACGGGATCCTGTCGTTGCTGAAGCTGAACCGGCAAGGTGACTCCGCCAGAGCCACTTCCGCGGTCCGCTGGCTCGTCACCAAGATGAACTCTAACGGGGGCTTCACGACCATTCAGGTCCTTTCAAGCCCCATTTCCCTTCCATTTAGTTTTAGCGTCGTCGCTCGACACCTGGTTTCACGTGTTTCATTCAGGACTCAGTGACGGCTCTGCATGCCTTGACGCAGTACGCGTCTCAAGTAGGGCTGCGGGACGTGGCCATGGATATCCACCTCTCCTCCTCTGGCTGGGAACATGCCTTCTCTCTCACCGATGAGAGTCGTCTCGTCGAGCAGACGATCTCCACCCCGTCTCTTCCCTTTAAGTTCCACATTTCTTCGGTTGGGAAGGGCTGTTCCCTCGTTCAAGTGCGCTCCGATTACATGGCCCTCGTGCGTACATTTTGGGAACATTCTGTGTATATCACGAGGTTATTTTCAGGCGTCGCTGACTTACTCGGTGTTAGGTGCACCAAAGTCGCATGGGATGCAACTTAACGTAACGGAGAAGCCGAATGATGACAACGGATGCTATCGACGGACGATCCGAGCCTGTGCCACGTATTACGGACCGACCAACACATCAAATATGGCCTTGCTCCAGGTCTCCATGATCTCGGGTAAAGTCTCCTCTTCTGAGAAGGCGGCCTTTCAATGAAGTGATAATTTCATGTTCATCGATGAACTTCTATATTTAATGGTTTCCATCAAACTCTTCAATAGTATTAATATTGCTTAATACTTGTAATTAATATAAGACCCTTTCCTCCTATGAATCAGGTTTCAAGCCGGACGAAAATGCCATCAAGGAAGAGTTGCTCTCTGACAACTCGGGTACGTGATCAAAACGCGATTGACATTCATTGAGCATCCGGTGTATATCGATAGAGTCACCTTGATTGATCAGTCATCCTTTAAATTCAATTCGTAAATGTTATCATATTTGTCTAGCTAATGTAAATGTAAATGAGTTTTGCTTGACTGGTTTTATTGATGTCTCCCTCTTGCATGTCTACCCGTCGCCAGGCTCATCACTCCGAATCTCTCTCGGAGGGTGGCGGAGCGACGGTACCTACCGCCCCAGGCGTTTTCGAGGCCTTCGACGCGACAAAAATCCACATGAAAAACTCCCCACAGGTATTTTACCGAACCTCCTTTCGACACGCTGAAATATTATTATGGCAGCGTATTATGGAGAGGCACTGCTTGTGCTCGCAGCAGTGATACACTGGGAGGTAGAGAAAGAGACTGGAGAGATGGCGGTTTACTTGAACCATTTGGACGGAAAGAGTTTCTGCTTGGACGTTCCTCTTCTACGTACGGTTGCAGTGAAGAATCCCAAGCCGGCCCTCATCAAGCTCTTCGACTACTTTGCCCCTGAGGTCCAAGACACTCAGGTGAGCTAATGCAAGGCCTCTTCCGACTCGTACTTCCGCTCATCGAGTGGATGAAAGATCGAATAAGAAAATGTCCACTACTTCGTTTCCTATTCACTCCTCCCCCCCCCCTCGCTTGAAACCTTATTTTTTGCGATATTTCTTCGAAAGCCAATATTTTCATGGCTCATGTATTTCCACAGTTGTACAATGTCTCCGAGTGCATCACGAAGGAATGAATCACCAAGTAAGAAGAAGATTGGAACACTCTTCCCGATATTCACATCTACTATGAGCGACCCACTATATCCCCATTTTATTCAGTTTTTATTCCGCAACCTTGCAAATAAAGGACTCTCGCATCAACAGCCGCATTCGTTGCAGAAAAGCCATTGACGACGCTGTGGCACCGGAAACCGATAGGGCTCATTCCATCGTGGAATGACCCCCGATCCACCAGCCGACAATTTTCGAATATTAACGCCCTGCCTTTCCCTTCATCCCACAATTCACGCCGCTCTCATACCGGACACCTCCGACTCTTTCCGACTTCTTCCCGACCTTTCTCCCAATTTTTCCCGACCCTCCGACACGAACGACGATCGCACCGAACCACCAACGACCTCCTTTCGAATCTCCTCCTCAGACTTAAAACTAAACGACCTTCCACCTTCTGCCGCTAATCGACTCCCGACCGCATGCTTTCCTTTCAAGGCTTAGCCATTACTCAACCTACACTCTAAAAAATTCCAAGCGCTTAGGGAGTAGCAAGTGAGCACTGAGTGAACTATTTCATAAGTACTCTCTTATTAATCACCAAATGCTCCCTCATCGCTCGTATCGAAATGAACACCTTCAAGTTCTTCGCCAAGCCGAGATGGAGGTGAGGGTCTCGCTTTTCGCACAGAACACAAAAGTTCCCTTCCCTCTTTCCCTGGAATCGTTTCTTTCAGGAATGCTTTGTACTTCGCCGTATGTTTCGCCGAGTCTCATTATAGGATTCAATAAACACAGACACTTCATCATCTGGTATCCACATTCAAGACAGATTGAAAGAGCCCAGGCCATAAAGAAGCTCGTATTCCTGATGATAACCCTTTTGAAACTAGGAAGGGTTCGGGGACAGGGTACAGAGGAGGTCTAGAATACATAAGGGGCGTCCGTGACCGCAATTCTCATTCCTCGACTTGATGGGAGAGTGAGAAAATGAAGAACTGTCATCACGGACACTTAAAGGAATCGGAAGAGGCAGTCCATCGTCTGAAATGTACTGTAATCTGCACCGTCAGAGGTAGATCAACGCCTGCACCATAAAGTAGAGAGTATAACTAGAGGCGACACTCCGAGAGGTAAGGGTGGGATGGTGTCGAAATATTACAAAGACATATGGTGGCTTGTTATCAACAACACTTCCATGAGGCGTGCTTCGTGGCAGCGGAATCGGGAATCGACTCGTTCGGGGATTCGACCGGAAGGGATCCCTCAACGTAACACGCGTGTCTCGTCGAGTCCGTCGCTCGGCCATGGAGTTGTTGTTGTTGAGCGCCCAAGGATCGACAGGGACATCTTTATTGCGACCCTGTCAACGAATGGGATTCGAGCGGAGTGGAGCCTCAAGTTATGCTCTCTACTCTATGCCTTTACTGTTTTATGTTTCCTACCTATCTCCATCTATCTTTTGGACCTTAAGTCCTTAAGGTCCGAGAAACAAAAGCAGAGCGAATGCGAGACACAGTATACATGAGGATTTGCTCGTTTGCATCTCTTTCTGAGGGGAGCGTTTTTACGCAGTTTTACTCCTTGGTGATGGAGCAATTTCGCTCCATCCCCAGATTGAAAGGGGAATGAAACAGGAGTTAGCGATTTTACATTCTTTAAAAAAAGTCGCTTCCCTTTTTCTAAGAGTGTAAGGGGAGGGGGGGGGGGCGTTTTGACCCACAACTCATACATATTATTTGTGTACTGAATGATGGATATAGTTTATCGACAATCATTTTTGTAATTTAGAACCTTTTTGGAAGGACCTTAACATTTTCACTGTCGGTGAAACAGGTTGGTGGTGAGACGAATGTCAGGAAAGGCAGGTTTTCCTCCCTATTCAAACTCCATCTTTCTACGCTTAGGAGAGTTGGAGAAGATTCTGGAGGTGCCAGACAACATCGCAGAGTGGGTGGGTTCAGCGGTGTGCATCTCCCCACTGAAAGGGATGGGGCTGTCCTCCCCTCAACCCCTCATTGTCTCCCAATCCTTCTTCCTCGGCTTCACTCTGCCTTATTCTATCAAGAGAAGAGAGATCCTTCCCCTATCTCCGTCTTCAACTACAAGCAGCATTCCCTTCCTGTGAACATAACTTCGTTTACCCTCCACAGAGGGAGATGTGAAACGTTCGTTATGTTCTCTATTCTTCCTGCTTTTCTCCTTTCACCAACAGATCAGAGTCATCGTTAAGGAGTCCGAGTCCTTCAAAGTGGAAGGAGAGAGAGAAAAGAGTTTGTGCCTTAAGGAGCAGGAGGCCGAGGTGGTGACCTTTGACCTGGAATTTTTGGAACTGGGAGAGGTTAACGTCACCATTTTGGCTCGAGTCGATTCATGCCACCCCGGAGTCTGCGGACCAAATGCTATTCTTCTTGTCAGGTCTGTCTATTTAGGAGACTTCTGGCATGTCAATTGAATCAGGTAGGTCTATGGGTGTGAAGAAAGTGATTTTCCAACCGAATTTAACGACACATTTTAGCATTTTGAGACTCCTGATCCTCTTGGAGTCATCCTCCACTCCTGGAGTGGAGTGAAGGCTTTTCATTCATCTAGGAAACACCTTTCATGAGGACATAACTAAAAAAAGGAATAACCCACTGCGAAACTCTAGAAAACACTGACCACGAAGCCATCATGAATACAGCAGGGTGGACTACCAGCGATTGTATTCACATTGGGAGAGGTTTCAGCCACTGGTGAAAAGGGATGGGACAGGGTCGCATCACAGACGTATTATTTCCCTTAAATTGGCGTTTGCAATCATGAAAAAAGGACGATGAAATGCGCCAAGGTCAGTGTTGCCCAACCCGTGGCCCATGGGCAAAAAGTGGCCCTCTAGGTGCTTACGAGTGGTCCCTTCCTCAATATACTGTAGTATCCTACAATGCTAGTGACTTAAAATGGCCCTCAATGGCTGTGGTAATGAGCTAGCCGTGAAGGTTGGGCACAATTGGCATAGATGGACCAAGTAGTGAAGTTAGTATTGGTAGCGTGTATGCAGCCGGACATAGGAAGAGACAAGACAAAGAGCAAGCACAAGGAGCTTCCGGCCTCGACCATCATCGCTTTAGATCTAGGTCGCTTTAGGTAATCTTCTCTGGGGTAACCACCATGGTTACACTCCAGGAAGTCCGTAAATTTGGAATTCAGGAAGGACCATGGAGGCGCTCGGAGAAGACGATGTTTTTCCCGAGGGAAAGCCGCACGCGGTCGTCCAAAGCATGCACTTCAGAGATATCGCTGTCATTCAGAAATTGCCGTGTGCTCTTCACTTGAAAACTAATCTTGTTTCTTACAGTGTTGCGTCTATATGCAATCGCCTCGAAATATTCATTAAGTATTCTTTTTCAGAGACACCATCGCAAAATCGATACGAGTCGAACCAGAAGGATATCCGGTAGAAGAGACGAAGAGCTGGTATCTCTGCCGTGAGTATTTCTTGTCCTTGGCGGTAAGCTTAATTTAGGGGGAAAAAGCATGTAAGTTTCATGTTCTGGATTTGGGTTCTCACTTGATTCGAAAAACTAAGAGAAAACAGGCAACAGAATTGTCCTCAAAAGGGCGGAAAGAGGAATTCCCATTTGACGGTTGAAAGGCTTAATTTTTTCACGGAAATTTTATGTTTATCGTTAGAGATGGGAATCCCTCGAGCCTTCCCTGAGAATTCGGGGTTTTCCCGCCTTAGATCCTTGATATTTTCGTGTGGTTATTTCATGAATAATTGAAAATGCTATTACTCCAGCCTGTTCATTATCCAATCATTTTCACTGAAGGTATATGTCCATGAATTAAGTTAGAAACATAAATAAATGCAATAAATTAATGGATGAAGCACCTCTTGGATACAAACACCAATGCACCAAATATTCAAAAAAATCATCACCAAATCATAGATTTGGTGATGATTTTACCACTCCATACCACTGCAAGGAGTGCAATGTGCAACTTCCCTTCAGGTGGTTCGGTGGTGAAGACCATGTAAATTCTAACGACGGAGCAACAGGAAAATCCGTTAAATTTTTATGTGCAGCGTTACACATTCTGGATACTCAATCCACGAGTATCCAATAAGGCCAATCCTCAATAACGCCACTATTTTTCTTGGACCCCATACCGTCTCTAAAGTCCAGGTCCACTTTCCTCTCTTAGGCCAGTTAAGAGACTGATATTGAGCATATTCTATACCTTCTGCAAGCCGAATCTCTCCTCTCCGGGGATGCGCATATACCAGAAATGTAGCTTCAACTGTGGATTCGATTTAGGTATATGTTTGGTTCTTTCTCCAGGAGTTTACCTGGAGTTTTAGGAAAAAATTCCATAACGAAAATAATGATGTGGTTTTTATAGCCTTTCTCGTTGTCGTTTTACCTTTTCGCGATGAGAAAGTAAACTTGCTGTCCGATTTTTCCCCTTTCCTGAAGGGATCCACATCACCACATTTCACATTTAACGGCTATAATGGTGAAATATCGTCGGCTTGTAGAGTGATTCCGTGTTAATTTCAGAGTTTGGATATTCTGTTAACGATCCGTTTTGTTTCCAAGTAACTTGAATGAGATGAGCTTGAAGCTATCGTTGGAGGTGATCTATCCCCTTGACTCCCTAAGGACGTACCGTCCATAGCATTTGAATAATGTGCTCCCAACGTTGATTTGAACTTCGATGAACTTCGGAGATGGTCTCTCCACGGATGTGCTCGCGAAGATGGTTAATAGTTCTTTGATAGATCCAGGAATTGAGCTTAATAAGTATTTAATTGGACGGTTGAGGATATTTTGGTGAAAGAGCTAAAAAACCTTCCTTTTGAAGAGTCCGTGGATAGAGCCTGATGCCCACTCAGCTTCTCCTTACTTGCGGTTCTTGTGATTTTGGGTCGTTTTTCATTGAAGATTTTGACAATATAATTTCCCTAATTAGAGAAGGGGCGGGAAGTCAGTGAGAGTGTTTGCAAAGGAAGTTTCCATAATATTTCTCATGCTTTATTCCATGGGATATTAAGCAGAAATGTTTTCTGCTGCGGATTTGGAGCAAATTATATCCATTCATCTGTGATGGCCTCATTAATGTGCGCCACTGAGAGATTCATTCGTTGCTGAGTCGTTCTCACGAAATGATATTTCCAGAGGAAGATGAGGTGGTGAACGTGTCTCATTCCATGAGCTGGCCAGAGGACGTGGTGCCGGATTCTGCTCGGGCGTGGGTCTCAGTCTTCGGTGATCTCCTTGGACCCTCGCTACAGGTACTTCGGCCTATAGGCTCAACGGGCGCATTCCCTACGGAAACAGTTATTGCATAATTACTCTCGGATATTCTCCACTAGGATTCGCGATTGATTCCTTTTTTTTAAATAGGGATGGTAACATTGAGAATCGGAAGAAATATCCCTTTCACACCATCGCAATCATCTGAGTGATCGCAACGTCCTCAACTCCTTTCTATCAGAATTATGTTTGCTTAGGCGTGTAGAGAATTCACTTCCTCCTTTTCTTAACGAATAATGTATTGCATATTCATTGATACGGTCGCTATCTATGGCGCTTGAACAAGGGGCTCGAACATAATGCAGCTTTTAACATGATGCTTGACCGAACAGAACGATCCTACTCCAGTTCAAAAGGCCCTGTTTCTCTCGCGATGTGAAATTCGTAATGTTCTAATTATTATTCTTCCTCGGTCCAGCCATGTCCCTATCGTACAACGTGTCTCCTACAGGGTAGAGAGAGGCTGGTGAAGTTCCCGATGAGCTCCAGAGAACAGGAAACTTTCGACCTTGCCGCAAACCTCCTTCTCTTCCAATATCTTAATTCCACGAACCAACTGAAGCCAGAACTAAAGGCGGAACTCGTTCGCTTTGTGGGGAGAAGTAAGTGAAGCTGGAATAGACGAACCGATGCACTCTATGAATTGAAGTTTCAACTGCCTCGTTCCTAACAACCAATCTACTCTTTCAGTGCTGTTTTTATTTTTCAGGGTTTGCGAATTCCACGAGGAAAAGCTCTCATCCCCACTATCATTATGAACAATTCAAATTTTCTAATCGAGGATGAATTAAACGTTTGCATTACTGTAAGAGATGAAGCGCTAAATATTTTTGGGGGTTTTCTTTAATGGGAGATATATTGAACTGCTCAACCAGTAGGACCTACAGACATTACTTATGTAATGACATCTGCATAAAAAATTGAAATGTCAAAGTATTAAAACAAATAAAATTTTGATTCTTAGCATGCCATTATCACCTATGTTCTGACGTCACATTAAAGTTGTGAAATAATCATTATCCATCAACTCCTAAGTTTGCTTATTTTCGCCGAATATCCGCATTTATTAGGTTGGCTAATAAGTCTTTGCGTTTTTTCTCGATCAAGATTATTTTTATTTTCATTAATTCTGAGATACCTTCAGTCAACAATAAATGCCCCATCACCATGCACAATCTGTCTCCATCTCATAGGCAGCGCGTGGATCCCATCCCTGTAGAAGCGGGCAGGCTTCGATTCGAAGAACTCGCGGAGGTCAGTCTCGAGTGCCTGTCGATCGTCGTAGCTCTTCCCATCCTACAGGCAACAGAATTGTCCTCAAAAGGGCGGAAAGAGGAATTCCCGTTTGACGATTGAAAGGCTTATTTTTTTCACGGAAATTTTATGTTTATCGTTAGAAATGGGAATCCCTTGAGCCTTCCCTGATAATTCGGGGTTTTCCCGCCTTAGATCCTTGATATTTTCGTGTTGGTTATTTCATGAATAATTGAAAATGCTATTACTCCAGCCTGTTCATTATCCAATCATTTTCACTGAAGGAATATGTCCATGAATTTAGTTAGAAACATAAATAAATGCAATAAATTAATGGATGAAGCACCTCTTGGATACAAACACCAGTGCACCAAATATTCAAAAAAATCATCACCAAATCTATGATTTGGTGATGATTTTGCCACTCCCTACCACTGCAAGGAGTGCAATGTGCAACTTCCCTTCAGTTGGTTCGGTGGTGAAGACCATGTAAATTCTAACGACGGAGCAAAAGGAAATTCCGTTAAATTTTTATGTGCAGTGTTACACATTCTGGATACTCAATCCACGAGTATCCAATAAGGCCAATCCTCAATAACGCCACTATTTTTCTTGGACCCCATACCGTCTCTAAAGTCCAGGTCCACTTTCCTCTCTTAGGCCAGTTGAGAGACTGATATTGAGCATATTCTATACCTTCTGCAAGCCGAATCTCTCCTCTCTGGGGATGCGCATATACCAGAAATGTAGCTTCAAACGTGGATTCGATTTAGGTATATGTTTGGTTCTTTCTCCAGGAGTTTACCTGGAGTTTTAGGAAAAAATTCCATAACGAAAATAATGATGTGGTTTTTATAGCCTTTCTCGTTGTCGTTTTACCTTTTCGCGATGAGAAAGTAAACTTGCTGTCCGATTTTTCCCCTTTCCTGAAGGGATCCACATCACCACATTTCACATTT